ACACCCCAATGACACCAATGATGGGGCACTATTCCTCCCACTGATACCAATGATGGGGCACTATTCCTCCCACTGGGCACATTCCCCCACTGACACCAATGATGGGGCACTATTCCACCCACTAGTATCAATGATGGGGCACTATTCCTCCCACTGATACCAATGATGGGGCACTATTCCTCCCACTGATACCAATGATGGGGCACTATTCCACCCACTGGTATCAATGATGGGGCACTATTCCACCCACTGATACCAATGATGGGGCACTATTCCTCCCACTGATACCAATGATGGGGCACTATTCCACCCACTGGTATCAATGATGGGGCACTATTCCACCCACTGGTATCAATGATGGGGCACTATTCTGTGAAGAAGAGAAGAGGAGAAACAACAGACTTCTCTAGGGAGGGGGACAAAATATAATGTATTTATTCTTCCTCTCTAGAGGAAGAGTCTGAACAAAAAAGAAAAATGATCTGTTGAAAAAAAAAGGAATAAAGATGAACTAAATCAGGGCCTGATCTTGTTTAGTGAGTGTTGGTGTTAGTACGTCAGTTATTCTTTGTGGCAGTTAGTGGCAGTGGTAGTCTAGGCTCACACCTATGCATTTCTGTTGCATTTTGCAGAAACGCACTACAGTCCATTTAACATGATTTCCTATGGGACACGTTCACATCTCTGTGTTTTCACCCAGTGCGTTTTTTGGAAAGAGCCAAGGACTTTTTTCAACACAAAACGTTGCGTTTTTGGATCTGTAGACTTCAATGGAGACGCTGCAGAAAAGCATGTAGTGTGTTTTTGACGCATTGTGCGTTTTAATCTGCCCAGCAACAAGTTGAAAAGAAATGTGAAGCGCATCAAAAACACGTCAAAAACTAATAATAAATGTATGTGCAAAAAAAACGCAAAACGCACCGCAAAAAGCACTACAGAATTGGATCAAATGCAAACTGCACAGGTGTGAACCTAGCCTTAGGGTCAGAGAGTATTATGTAGGAAAATCAGGAGATATCCATTACTATTTACCATCAAATAAAAGCCAAATTTCTCCTGAAAAAGTGTGCTATGCTCCACCTTGAGTTGTGATGATAAGTACAATTTTACTAACCCTAGGTCAGGGGCGGACTGACAACTCATGGGGCCCCCGGGCAATAGGGGATCATGGGGCCCCTGTGTCCTTGCCCAAACTCAGAAAAGCCTATGAAAAAGGTACCAGGGGCATCTCATGGGGCCCCCTACTGACCCCGGGCCCTCGGGCAGTGCCCGAGTTTCCAAATGGTCAGTCTGCCCCTGCCCTAGGTTCACACCTATGCAGTTTGCGTTTGACCCATTTCTGCATTGCGTTTTTGCACCTATGTTTTTGCCGCATTTTTTATGCGTTTTTTTTTTTTTTCTTTTTTTTCTTGTTGCTAGGCAGATTTAAGATGCAAGACGCATCAAAAACGCACCAAAAATGCACTAGATGCTTTTCTGCAGCATTTCCATTGAAGTCTATAGAACAAAAGACGCAACGTATTGCGTTAAAAAAAATCCCTGACACTTTCCAAAAAACGCACCGGGTTAAAACGCAGAGATGTGAACCTGTCCTATAGAAAATCATGTTAAACGGATTGTACTGCGTTTTTGGAAAATGCAAAACGCTGCGGAAAAAGCTTAGGTGTGAACCTAGGGTAACACAGGTCAAAGTTTCAAAATGGGGTTTGGGCATTAAAGTGGTGTTAAACCCAAAACCAAAAATGTAATATCTTGCAGCTTACCAATCATTAGATGTGGTGGCTGCATTAGTTTTCTTTTTTTTTTTACGTTTTTTGCCCCCTCTGTTTTCACCTGGTGATCTGGCCAGTAACGAACCTTCTGTATTAAAGCTCCCCCACTTAGGATGAAGGAGCACAGGAGCACGTTTGGACAGCAGCATTGTCAGTTTGGGAGGGGAGTGTTAGATGTACTAGCAGCTTTACATACACTAACAAATTGAAGCCAAACTCCACTTTGATAATCAGTTACAGCCATTTTTTTTATGGATAAAGGCTTTACATAAATAAATAAAAACTCCAAAGACATGCTGGTAGGTGAATTGGCTCCTGTCTAAATTGTCCCTAGTATGTGTATGTATGAATGTAAGTTAGGGACCTTAGATTGTATGCCCCTTGAGGGTTAGGGACTGATGTGAATGTACAATATATATGTAAAGTGCTGTGTGAATTGACGGCGCTATATAAGTACCTAAATTAATAAAAGCTGATCATACTCTGTCAGTAGTAAATGGTTGGTTTCAATCCTCTAAATGATACATCTGCAGGGGAGCTTGTTCTGTTGAAAAACTACAGACTTCCTGGCCAAATCACCAGATGAAAATAGAAGAAAGACATAAAAAAAAGGAAAACGAGTGCAGCCATCACATGTAAGAATTGGTAAGCTGCAATATAAGAAGTGTTTTCCTTTGGGTTTCCTACTGCTGTGAGGTTTGCTGAGACCCTGGTCATGAAGGGGTGAAGACCGCTCTAAGTAATCTCTGTAAGCTCGGGTTCAAACTGATGCGGTGTGGAATTTGCAGCGTTTTCTGTGTGAATTCCGCACCACATCAGAATCGCACCCCGTTCATGTGAACCGCTGCGGGTGTGTATGTTAAGCTAACAACACCCCGAAATTGGCCCTCAAAACGCGGTGCAATGTGCAGAATCGGATCGCATAGGTGGGAATACCCATGCGATCTGATTCTAGTGCGGACCAAAAAAGGGTTCTGCACAGGGGCGGACTGACCATTTGGAAACTCGGGCACCGCCTGAGGGCCCGGGATCAGTAGGGGGCCCCATGAGATGCCCCTGGTACCTTTTTCATAGGCTTTTTTGAGTTTGGGCAAGGACACAGCGGCCCCATGATCCCATATTGCCCAGGTGCCCCATGAGTTGTCAGTCTGCCCCTGGTCCTGCATGTTTTTGGTGCGATTAGAGCCATACAAAATGTGATTTGCAGAGGAATGCGGTGAGGTTCCTGTGCGAATCACATGCGATATAGCGCACCACATATCAGGGGTGGACTGATAACTCATGGGGCCCCCGGGCAATAGGGGATCATGGGGCCCCTGTGTCCTTGCCCAAACTCAAAAAAGCCTATGAAAAAGGTATCATCAGGGCATCTCATGGGGCAGTGCCGAGTTTCCAAATGGTCAGTCCGCCCCTGCCGCATATATGTGAAACCCGGGCTGAATGGCAGGGCTGCTATAGTCGGTTGTATGCAGATCATGTGTCACTTCACAGGCGGGGTCAGGGCACCCCCCAAACATGATATTTAAAGGGATTGTGCATGTTTGACGTTGCCCTTTAAGAATTATTACAATCACTGCTTTTTACCAAATTTAATATTTTTAGACATTATTTTGAATTGGCCCCCAGGGCAGTGCCCAGCCCCCAATACCGTTTGTTTGACAATCCCCCCCGATCTCAGTGTCGTACTGTCACTTTAAGATTGCCGATGACAGGTCCTCTTGGCGCTCCCAACTGTCACGTGACTGGCCAATCAGGCTAATCTCCGCCTCCTCCCGAGTATCCGCCCACACGACCGTCACTCAAAGGGAGGAGGTTTCAGCCACGCCTCCTCTCTCTCGCTGATTGACAGCCACACGCCAGCGCTGGCGCCGGGAGATTGACAGCAGCCGGCGGCCAATGGCAGGCTCGCCCTGCGCGCAGGGGGCGGGACGGCGAGCGCGGCCGACCAATGGCGCGCAGGGAGGGGGGCGGAACGTGGTGCCAGCGCGAGGCGTTCGCTGGTAACGGTTCCCGAACAGAGCGGAGACCGGAGAGGCGGCGGATGGATCTTTCCCGGTGTGTACCGGCCTGTGCATGGGGATTTGTGTGTGAGCAGCAGGGGGCGGGGTCCTGGGAGTGCTCTGCCCGCCCACGGCATGCTGGTAGTTGTAGTTAACCCTGTGCTCCCCACTGGGCCGGCCCACATAGGGTGACCCCAATCGCCGCCGACCCGGTGGGGGTTAACTGCCTGAGCATGGTATGCTGGGAGTTGTGGCTAACCCTGTCCTTGCTGATGGGCCAAACCACAGGGGGGAGACCCCCTTCGCTGCCAACCCATGCAGTCGTCCATGGCAACGACTGCTGACGGTGAGTCGCGAACGCCGTTGACGATTTCCAGACGTGTGACTGTAATCGCATTTGTAGATTGGCTCTGATGTGCACACAAGGTCAACCCTCAAAGCAGGATGCACACGATGCAATCTGATTGGACGATTGGGCCTGTGGAGGGCAATTGGCACAACAAATGAATGATTGGAGGCGATTGTAGGGTGTGTGGCCGAGGACGCGTCCAGATGTGATGTCTCCAGGCGTGACAGGTATTCGGTGAGCCGCAATCAGATTGTACCTTGCGCGGCGGGTCAGGTGATGGGAAGCATATAGGGGGGTAGCACAGGTCCAGATTGGGTCGCAGTATTGCGCCTTCCCAGACTGAATTTATTGCTATTTCCCTGCTGGAGAGATTCCTTTCACTTCCTGTCCCGGAGGAAATCTGAGATGGTTGTCACCAGAACAAGTGTCCCCATTGGAGGATTTCTCTCCCTCCCTATTCAGGGGACAGCAGTAACATGTTGGATTTCCCATCATTTCCTGTCCCAGTCACAGATGAGAGGAGGAGCCTCCCTACCTGACCACCAGATACATTGTAAACTTTCCTCTGTAGACACATTGGAATGTCCTGACATTGAATACATTGCACCCCGCCCACTCCAACAGTGTTTATAAACAATCTAGCATGAGTGAGGTCTGATCTGATTGGTTGGGAGTGTCTGCATTCTGCAAATTACAAGTGTGTAGTTTTATTGGATGAGTCTGATCATGTGATCTGTTGTATGATTGTAGGGGCTTGGAGCCCTGCAGTCTCCGACCATCTCCTGTAGTATGTCTGCAGTCTCTGACCGTCTCCCGTAGTATGTCTGCAGTCTCTGACCATCTCCTGTAGTATGTCTGCAGTCTCTGACCATCTCCTGTAGTATGTCTGCAGTCTCTGACCGTCTCCTGTAAGCATGTCTGCAGTCTCTGACCATCTCCTGTAGTATGTCTGCAGTCTCTGACCATCTCCTGTAGTATGTCTGCAGTCTCTGACCATCTCCTGTAGTATGTCTGCAGTCTCTGACCATCTCCTGTAGTATGTCTGCAGTCTCTGACCATCTTCTGTAAGCATGTCTGTAGTCTCTGACCATCTCCCGTAGCATGTCTGCAGTCTCTGACCATCTCCCGTAGCATGTCTGCAGTCTCTGACCGTCTCCCGTAGCATGTCTGCAGTCTCTGACCGTCTCCCGTAGTATGTCTGCAGTCTCTGACCGTCTCCCGTAGTATGTCTGCAGTCTCTGACCGTCTCCCGTAGTATGTCTGCAGTCTCTGACCGTCTCCCGTAGTATGTCTGCAGTCTCTGACCGTCTCCCGTAGTATGTCTGCAGTCTCTGACCGTCTCCCGTAGTATGTCTGCAGTCTCTGACCGTCTCCCGTAGTATGTCTGCAGTCTCTGACCGTCTCCCGTAGTATGTCTGCAGTCTCTGACCATCTCCTGTAAGCATGTCTGCAGTCTCTGACCATCTCCTGTAAGCATGTCTGCAGTCTCTGACCATCTCCTGTAGCATGTCTGCAGTCTCTGACCATCTCCTGTAGCATGTCTGCAGTCTGACCATCTCCTGTAGCATGTCTGCAGTCTCTGACCATCTCCTGTAGCATGTCTGCAGTCTCTGACCATCTCCTGTAGCATGTCTGCAGTCTCTGACCATCTCCTGTAGCATGTCTGCAGTCTCTGACCATCTCCTGTAGCATGTCTGCAGTCTCTGACCATCTGCCATAGGGTGTCTGTAGTCTCTTACAGTCGTAGCGCGTCTCCGGCCCCTGACAGTATTCCGCAGCAATACATGTACTGAACAATATGTGTGGCCCTTTGATGAGACTGTAGTTGAGGGCCCTTATATCTTATCAGTAGACTTACACTTTTGTTGGCCTGTTGTCCAGTGATGGGGCTGATATGTAAAACCCGAAGTTGGTGCATCAAGCAACCAATCAGAATGTAGCAGAAAGATCTGCTGACACAGCTGAGTTGGTTTTGTTGCTCTGTATTTTGTATTGACCCCAATGGATGATCTTCATAGTAAATAGGTCAGTAATTGGGGGGGATTGCCCGCATGGTCCCCCTATGGGAAGTTTTGTGTTCATGAAATGACAGGTCCTCTTATAAGCTCAATGCCTCCTCCCCCCAGCACCTATTGATACCTTCACCTTGCTCTATACAAAGATATGGGGATTGTGTGACCTCCTCTCCTTCTTCATGGCCACTGTCACATTGGGGGGTCAGTAAGCTCTGATATTAAAGTAGAACTGAATGCAAAACATTTCCCCCCCCCCCCCGCCCCCTTTTGGATGGTTATAACCCCTGTCAGTTTTCTTTGGGCCATTGGTGTCCCATTGAGAGATTTCTCTTCACTTCCTGTCCCATAGTCACAAAGGGAGCTGAAAGAGACTCCAAAATGAAGGAATCCCTGGCTGTCAGCAGAACTCATGTCCCCATTGGAAGGTTTCCCCTCTATTCCTGGTCTGGGGATCTGGGGACAACCCAAAATTTAGGATTTTCTTTCACTCTCAGTGATTACAGTACATTTGACAGAGAGGGTCAATCTCCCTAATGGGGGCACAGACAGTAATAAAAACCAGACGGGGTCTAATCCCTCTCCAATCCATCCAAACTATAAGAAAAAGTTTTGCCTTTAATTATACTTTAACCACTTCCCGACCGGCCTATAGTAAAATGACGGCTAGGCGGGCCTCTCGTCCCTCCAGGAGGGCGTCATATGACATTGTGCCCGGATCGTGGTTTGGGCATTCCCGCAGGGCCGCACTGTAGCGAGATCTGTCACTGGCTGTGTACCTCGGACATGGCCGATGACAGATCTGTGTACCGGCCCCGGTGCCAGTACCATGTGACCTGCTGTGACCAATCACAGCAGGTCACATGACAGTTGTATGCAATGGATGTCTTCCTTTCATGCCATCCATTGTATACAAGTGTATCTAGCTGTGAATGGTCACAGTGATCACATGCACAGGCTGGGCCAGTCACAGCCCATCTGTGTCATTTAAGTAGCTGTGGCCAATCACAGCTAATCACAACAAAAAAAAAACCTGAATGAATTGATTTCATTAATTTATATGCTTGCTTATAACAAAGAAAGTCTTTGCTATAAGCAATCAAATTGTATAAAAAAAAAAAAACTGATCACGTCCTCAAAGTAGTACAATGTTACTATAGTAACATTGTACTACTTTGGTCATAGTGTAATATGAAAAAAAAATCTTAAAACAAGAGAAAAACAATGTAATATAAAATAAAAAAATTGAAAAAAAATCTATTTTTTTTTTTGTACTGTCACCAGTCAGTGTCCCTGATCACCGCCACACCAATTATATGATGACTCTGTACTGCACTGGTGACAGTATGCAAAAAAAAAAAATTGTGAAAATAATTTTTTTAATTTCATGTTCTGAAAAATTATGACAAAAAAATTACAACTTCAAAAAACTCCCCATGCCTCTTATGTAATACGTCGGACTGTCTACTTTGCAAAAAGGGATAATTTGGGGGGATATCTGTACTGTCCTGACATTTGGGGGATATCTGTACTGTCCTGACATTTGGGGGATATCTGTACTGTCCTGACATCTGTACCGTCCTGACATTTGGGGGATATCTGTACGGTTCTGACATTTGGGGGATATCTGTACGGTTCTGACATTTGGGGGATATCTGTACGGTTCTGACATTTGGGGGATATCTGTACCGTCCTGACATTTGGGGGATATCTGTACCGTCCTGACATTTGGGGGATATCTGTACCGTCCTGACATTTGGGGGATATCTGTACCGTCCTGACATTTGGGGGATATCTGTACCGTCGTGACATTTGGGGGATATCTGTACCGTCGTGACATTTGGGGGATATCTGTACCGTCGTGACATTTGGGGGATATCTGTACCGTCGTGACATTTGGGGGATATCTGTACCGTCGTGACATTTGGGGGATATCTGTACCGTCGTGACATTTGGGGGATATCTGTACCGTCGTGACATTTGGGGGATATCTGTACCGTCGTGACATTTGGGGGATATCTGTACCGTCGTGACATTTGGGGGATATCTGTACCGTCGTGACATTTGGGGGATATCTGTACCGTCGTGACATTTGGGGGATATCTGTACCGTCCTGACATTTGGGGATATCTGTACCGTTCTGACATTTGGGGGATATTTGTACCGTCCTGACATTTGGGGGATATCTGTACGTTCTGACATTTGGGGGATATCTGTACGGTTCTGACATTTGGGGGATATCTGTACGGTTCTGACATTTGGGGGATATCTGTACGGTTCTGACATTTGGGGGATATCTGTACGGTTCTGACATTTGGGGGATATCTGTACGGTTCTGACATTTGGGGGATATCTGTACGGTTCTGACATTTGGGGGATATCTGTACCGTCCTGACATTTGGGGGATATCTGTACCGTCCTGACATTTGGGGGATATCTGTACCGTCGTGACATTTGGGGGATATCTGTACCGTCGTGACATTTGGGGGATATCTGTACCGTCGTGACATTTGGGGGATATCTGTACCGTCGTTGACATCTGTTGGGGGATATCTGTACCGTCGTGACATTTGGGGGATATCTGTACCGTCGTGACATTTGGGGGGATATCTGTACCGTCGTGACATTTGGGGGATATCTGTACCGTCGTGACATTTGGGGGATATCTGTACCGTCGTGACATTTGGGGGATATCTGTACCGTCGTGACATTTGGGGGATATCTGTACCGTCGTGACATTTGGGGGATATCTGTACCGTCGTGACATTTGGGGGATATCTGTACCGTCGTGACATTTGGGGGATATCTGTACCGTTCTGACATTTGGGGGATATCTGTACCGTTCTGACATTTGGGGGATATTTGTACCGTCCTGACATTTGGGGGATATCTGTCCTGTCCTGACATTTGGGGGATATCTGTCCTGTCCTGACATTTGGGGGATATCTGTCCTGTCCTGACATTTGGGGGATATCTGTCCTGTCCTGACATTTGGGGGATATCTGTACTGTTCTGATATTTTTTGGTCTCAAGAAATTAGATTGGCAGTCAGTACTTCAGAATTGATCAATTCTCAGATATATCCCATAGTTTGTGAACTCTATAACTTTTCTACAGACTAAATCATAAACACTGATTTGGGATATTTTCATCAAAGACATGTAGCAGAATACATCTCGGCCTAAATTTGTAAAGAACAATTATTTATTTGCAAACTTTTATAACCGAAACAAAGAAACTTGTTTTTTTTTTGTTTTTACTGAATTGTTTTTTGTTAATTTAGCAAAAAATAAAACCCCCAGTGCTGATTAAATACCACCAAAAGAAAGCTCTAGTTGTGTGAACAAATTTATACAAATTTTCATTTGGGTACAGTGTTGCATGACCGCGCAATTCTCATTCAAAGTGTGAGAGCTCTGAAACCTGAAAATTGGCTTGGGCAGGATGGGGGTAAAAGTGCCTGGTATGGAAGTGGTTAAAGTTTATTTGATGGATGGAGTGTGGAAAGATTAGACCCCCTGTCAGGTTTTATTGGCATCTGTGTTTCCATCGAGGGTGTTATCCTCTGTGTTTTTTTTGTTTTTTTTCCTGGTGAACGTTACAGGGGTGTGGAAATTTTTGCTAAAACTACTTGTCCAGGGACTAAATCGGTGCCCCAATCTACTTGTCCCGCATGACAATTTTTTGTCCAGATAAAAAAATAAATACATTTGAACCAAAACTGTATTTAAATCGGAGGGGATATTAGGAATATCTGGGGCTTTTAAAAACAAAAAGGGGCTTTATGGCGACTAAAAAGTTTAATATTTTTAACATTGCGCTGTTTATCTCCTCCTCCCCTCCCTGCCTCTCTCAGCACCGAACCCGGGGACTAGCAGGGAGGGGAGGGACCTTGCAGTGTAATGATTGGCTGATCCTTAGGAAAGGGTGGGTCAGGGCTTATCCTTTATCCCTTTTGCTGCCAGAGCCATTCTTGCATTTTTTGTTTAAAAAACAATTTTAGGTCTGAAGATTACACAAACCCCCAAACATGATATATATTTTCTGAAAGCAGAGACCCTAGAGAATAGAATAGTGGTAGTTCCAATTTTTCATGCACATGATATTACTACAAAATTTCAGCAAAAAATACAAGCAAGTTAATTTTAGGGCACAAAAAAAGCAATATTTTACCTTTTTTTGGTAAAATATAAAAGATGAGGCTGCACAGAGTAGATAGATATCCAACATGTAAAACTGTAAATTTGTGCGCGCTCATGAAATGGTGACGAACTTCAGTACCCTATATTTTCTATTGGTCAACACTTTTAGAGCTCCTTATTGATCATTAGTTTAGCATTACAGAGGAGGTCCGGT